GGATGAATGACCCACAGGAAATGGCTCTGGCAAAAACTTCACATTGAAGGAATTCCTAGAGATATTTTACAACGTTGAAAATGTTCCAATATTTTACAATATTGGAAACTGATCCAGACTTAGAAAGGAATATGACAGTTTTCCAAGATGTAGAAAAGATATTTACTCCATATTGTAAGTTATATGAGTAAGCAGCAAGCACTGTTCACACTATTCTTGATAAGATTTTTCAAGTAAATAAAATACTTTTTAATGTTTCTAAGATCGGAGTCCCTAGTCCCCATGCCATGGGCCGATACTAGTTCTGGCTTGTTAGGATCTGAGCTGTGGAGCAGGAGATAATTAGCGAGTGAGCAGACCTCTACCTCCTGTCAGAGGAGGTGCTACATTAGATTCTCATAGAGCACGAACACTATTGTAAACTGTGCATGCAAGGATCTAGATTGTACATTCTTTTTGAGAATCTAATACCTGATGATCCCCCTCCCCACTGTTGGTGGAAAAATTATCTTCCACAAAACTGGTCCCTGATGCCAAAAATGTTGGGAATCGCTGCTTTAGATGACAAGAGTACTACATAAATGATGGCTTTACTTTTATTTCCCTGTACATTTATAACTGGCAGAGTTTTTAAGGTTTTGACAAAAATTTTTGAAGGTTACAGAACAAATTTTCTTCCTGTTGAATACATGATTACTTTGCACAGTTTTAGCTTGTGTAGTTATTTTTATGGTTCCACACTACTATGCAGAGTGAGGAATACATATCTTTCTCTACTTTATTCCTTTAGTAAGGGAATCAATGATTCTCATAACAGGAAATTTTCTCAACTTTTTGTTTTAGTCTTCTTAGGGTGAGACTGACTGAGATTCCAATATTTATGAAATTATTTAGTTTTTGTGTTTTCCATATTGTTCCAAAAATCTATGATTGAATTACAGATTTTCTTCTTTGCAGTTCTGTTTAACCTTTTTCATTTTTTATTTTTGGATTCAGAGGATCCAATTGTATGTTTGTTACATGGGCGTATTGCATACTGGTGCGGATTGAGTTTCAAGTTTCTCCATTCCCTAGATTGTACCCAATAGGTAGCTTCTAAATCCTTGCTCCCATTTTAATTCCTCCCCATGTCTGTTATTTCCATCTTTATGTCTGTTTAGCTTCCACATATATGTGAGAACATGTAGTGTTTGGTTTTCTGTTGCTGAATTAGTTCACTTAGAACAATGCTCTCCAGCTCCATCCGTATTGTTTCAAAGGGCGTGATTTCATTCTTTTTTTTTATGACTATGTAGTGTTCCATGGTGTATATATTCTAAATTTTCTTCATCTAGTCAAACACTGATGGCACTTAGGTTGGTCCATGACTTTGCTATTGTGAATATGTTTACCCTATTCTTTTATGCTGTCCCTTTTTGATTTTTAATAACAAAAGTTTAGTCTGCTACAGCAAGAGATAGTATACTTTAACTGATGATTGGTCAGATGCTTCCCTCCCCATCCCTCCTTCTCCCCCTCCCTCCCTCCCTCTCTCACTTCCATTTTTATCTGTATTCTTCATGGGATATGTAGAATTCCTAATGCTTTGATGGACTAAAGGCAAAAGTAAAAAAGAAAAGTTAAAATTTCCCATTGTAGGACATTAACATGACATCGATTTCTCTCACTCTCTTCTACAATGAAATCTAAAGCAATACTAGAGATACTGAGTTTTTGGTGTTTGTTATGTTCCTTTTAACTTAGTGTTAAAAGGAAGGCAGAGCTTTATCTTCTTAATGATAGTGGTAATTGTAATAAAACTTATACTTGATAACTGCCTTATAGTTTTCTGTGCACGTTCACCATCAGTTTTTCATTTCAATTTTACATTAATGTAATGGACATGTAGGTAGTGAGACTTTAAAGTTTGTGACTTGCCCAGGGTTATGAAGGGAGCCTGTAGTCTTTTGTACTGATTGCCTGGGGAGGTAGAAGGCTATAATGTAAAGACTGTACAGTTTTATAGTGATAGACATGGGCTTGAATCCCAGTCCTCTAGCTTTATGACTGTGTGGCTTTGGGAAACACACTTCTACTTTTTGAAAATCAGTTTTATAATTTGTTATATGAAGTTTGTTTTAAAATGTAACTGTAGTATTATAGTGGTGTCTGGCTTAAAGTTAAGACATTAAATAGTTAGTAGCTGTTTTATAATACTTATATGATAGTATCATCTCGTTCTCAGGGGGTTTGATTACAAATTTGGTGTCAGGTCAGCTATTATATATAATGCATATTATATATAATCTAATATATAGCTATAATACATAGTTATATATATAATATATAGCAGCTGTAATATCCTGCTATATGTACACATTGTACATAATACATGTATGTATATATATTACATGTATACAGCTGTATATATATGTAAAATATGTTGCCATAAAGCTATAATATACAGCTATAAATATACAATGTATAGCTATACAGCTATAATATATAGCTGTTGTACATAATGTATATTATATTATACATAATATTGAATATCTCATCTCTGCTTTATTAACATTATGTACTTGTAAGTATCGTAGAACTTACCATGTCAGGTTGTAATTGTGTGTTTACTTATTTTCCTCCCCTACTAGACTGTGAACTCCTTGAGAAAATAGGTGGGACAGCAATTTGCCTTCTCCCTTATTTATAGAGTTAATAAGAGGTGGTTGAATGCTTTGAACTCCCCAGTGAAACACTTAATATTCACATTAGGTGTCTGTGTTACTAATAATATCTATCTAATTTCTGACACATTATTCCTAATAGATTTTGCTGGTCTCCATAGGAATCCTGGTGTACTTTAATGAAGTATAATTTTGGAAGTGACTAATGTGACTTGATAGAAATAAAATTATGTAATTTTAGTGCTGGAAGAACCTTTAAAAGTTCATGTCTGAAACCTGTCCCATTTGCTAGGAGAGGGAGCAGAGGTCTAAGGTGTCAGGTGTTTTTTCTACAGTCACGCACTGTAGGTTAGTGGCAGGATTTTTTAGTTATAAACCAAGAAAAGAGCAAGTAAAAGAGATATCATCAAAATAAGATGATAAATACTGCTACTTAAGAAAAATCCAAACCTCTAAGACTTCTTTTGCAGTAACCTTTAATATAGGAATATTTGCTAAGAAAATGTAAAATTTTACCGATTTTACCACTTTCCTGGAATTTACTGAGAAACAAAATAGTATAAAACTTTAAGTTTTTCAAAAGAGCAAAAAAAAAGGATACATTCCAGCCTGTTAGCATTGGTTCCTAAGGAGACTGAAAGAAGGGAAACATTTTTTTTCTGTGTGTACTTTGGTATTTGTTGACTTACTCTAGTAAATGGATAATAGTTTTGTAAATTAAAAAGAGCCTAGTAATATAGAAAATTGTTCTTTAAAGAAGCCAGGAGAGATGCAAGCTGAAGCAAAGTATGTAGGGATGTGTGAGACCAATCTGCTCTCAGTGACCTGCCTTTTTCGTTAGGGAGATCAAATTTTATACTGAAAAGGAATTAAATCTTTTATTCTTGTTTAGCAAGAATTTAAGGCAATAATAGAAGAAATAATACAGTTAATTGCATGATTAATTATCACTTAATATGTGTAAGCAGTATTTATTATAGGAGTTCATAGGCGAGAGATCATACCAGTGTATAGTAATCATATTGAGTTTATGAGCACTAGAGTATAATTATTTCTGTTGTACATTATGTTTTGTTAATTGTTACGATAATATGTTTGGCAAGTTATCCTCAGAGCTTATCAACATTATTTTTGCTATATACTTGATCATTTTTGGATGCCAAAATGGAGCCTTGAGAAGGCATGTCAAGCACTCTTAGAAGGTATATATTTACTACTTACTAAGCTAATATTTGGATAACACCAATCACTTATCTTGTTCATGTAGGAAAAATTCATGCTACTAGGAGAGTAGACTTCTGAAAAACAACAAGGATCATAGGAAGTGTTGACTGGTCAACTGCCACTATTTTGAAATTGAAAAAATCTTACATTTAATTTAGTTACATATCTTTACCACTTCTATAAAATGCTCCATAGCATATCTTTAAATTTTGGGAAGCTATAATAAAAACACTTTCAACTGTGCATTCTTGGCAGAGGGGTACTGTGGACAGATTATATTGACTCTCAAGTTACAAGACCTAATTAATAGTGATATGAATTTGGATAAATTGTTTAACCTCTCTGGACATTACTTACCTGTAAAGCAGTGTTAATAATAGCCTAACAGATATAAAAATCTTAGATTTAGCTGAATCTTAGAGCTTATGAAAATCTTTTACAAATAAAGTGGTAGACTTGCTAGGATTTCTACAATTTCTCTAGCACCAGGAAGCACAGAACAATGTAAGTGTTCACAGGATATTAATCCTGTGTTGGAGATCTTCACTAATATAATAGCACACTTAGTAATTAAGTTCTTGTAACTTTTTTTTAATTGAAGATATAGTGTTAACATGCTACTGAGTGAATATGACTGTTGAGGACCAGGTAATAGTTTGCTTTCTGTTAATCTTATTTGATGCAAAGAGAGAGCAAGGTGTCTTAGTTTTAAAAGCCTCATTTTTTATTTAACTGGGTTAATTGGTCTTGACCTATATGTTTGGAACAACTCTAAGGCAAATAAAATATCTTCCTAGAAACAACTTGATATCTTACTACTGTATTTTCTTCCAGTCAACAATTTATGGCCCTTCTATGTCAGTCTCTGATCATTGGTAATCTTTTACATGCAAAATAGCAATCTGGAATTTTAGATAACTTATTTCTATGTGGTTTTATAATGTATCTTCATGAATTCTTATTTCTGGTATTTCTAGAAAAAAATAGTAGAGCTTTTTGTAAGTATAGAGCTCAGATTGTGTAACTATAATAAAAGGGCTTTTTTGCTCACTGGGCTTCTTCTATGTATTCTTGATACCTTATTTCTCCTTTTTTCCCCCCCAATATTTTCAGATGTTTTGGAATGTTATTAAGCCCAGGTCGAAACGTGAAGAACAGTGACATGCATTTACTGGATATGGTAATGATAATCTTAAGAACTTAACCAAGTAGAGATGCTAGTTATTTTATATTTTTAAAATATTTTCTATTTAAAATTTTTGTCATATTGTCACAATTGTTTCTTTCAGCTGTGTGATAGCAATAATTAAATTTGGAAACCCTAACTTAAAACTACTCAGAAAAGAAGAATTTAGGAAAATTTCCACCAAAATAATCATATGCAAGTTGAAAGCAAGTAAAAAGATAATGTTATGTTAATGTCCATTTATTCATATGTTTGGCTTCTTAGGAAGATGTCTTTTCTTTGCGCCCCAAATAGCAAGGACATAATTATAAAAAGCATCTCCAGAGTGAATATGATGACTTTCATTTATTTTAATGCACTATTAATTTGAGCATTGTCATGTATGCTTTTGTTTTCTTTAAAGCATTTCTTTTTTGCATTTCTTCTTGATTGCCTGTCCTTAGCAAAGTATATTTACTCTGGGAGTGGTATTTATTTAAGAAATGCCTTCTGAGGTTAATATATGTTCAAGAGTTGGTAGTTGGCATTAAATTATCAAGCTATTTTAACTTTTAAATAGAAATGTCATCTAACATTGCAGTTAACGAAAACATTTACTTTGTGATTTAGAAATGTTATAGGAAAATGGTCATCTTAGAGTTAAATATAAAGTTCCTCATATAGTCAATTGAGATTTTTATATTTAGTGATAATAAGCACTGCATGTTTTCTTCCTTTTAGTTGTGTTTTTCAAATGTCAAACATCACTAATTATGTCAAATTTGTCTTTGAATTATTTCATGTAGTGTCAACACTGATTTTGTAAGGGAACTGGAATGGTTCAGTTAGGCTTTCTGGCACCTGTTTGTGTGCTAAGTGTTCTGTGAAGTGCTGGGGTTATAGGTATGAGTTGAATATAGATAGCTCTTACTGTCTGCTGGTTCATAGTCTTGTAATGGAAGCAGATCTTTTCAGGCCCTGGTGGTACAGTGAGCCACAGAAACGTTGAGGAAGCACTGCCTGGATAGGTCAGTAAGGGCAGCCAGCTATGTTGAACGGGAAATTAAATTAGCAGTTGCTCCATCTCTCTTCCACCCTTCTCTACTACATGTCAGTGATGAGTGTGATTTACATTGGGCAGGCCATAGCATTTTGGAGCCCTGGAAACTCCATGAAGAGGTATCTTGGGAGCATTGAGGTATTAACAACTCTAAGAGCCTAGGTTCTAGCTCCTAGTTAATCAGGGTCTTTCAGAGTTTAAAAAATGTAAGATTTAAATCAGATTATAGAATTATAGAACTGGCATTGAGACTTCTGAGGCCCCTTTGTCATGTCTAACATGCAGAACAGTCCTCTGCCTGTGAGTCTATATGTAAATTAAAAGCCTTGTTAGCATTCTTGCTCCTGGACATAGAAGGGGCTTGCGTGCACAACAGACAGTTGGGTAAATGGGAAGGTTTGTTTTGCAATTATTAACAATTGTAATTTGTTATTACCCAGTGATGCTAATCTGTAAATGAGTGGTCATTGACTCTCAGCTAGACTATATCTAATAAAAAGGAACTCATTACTTTATGTAAAAGTCTAAGGGACAGTTCTAGTTATTAGAAAGTAACTTCTTTATTACCAATTGAAATTATATTCCTGGTGACCACATAGTTAGCCTTAGTTCTGCCCTATAGAGCAAGGTGTTAATACTTCTGCTCCTCCTATGACACAAGCAGATATCACGTGGACACTGAAGACATATTTCACTTTCTTATACTTTATTCTGATAGACATTGAAAAGGCTTACAATTACATTCAATTTAGGAATTTACAAAACTTTTCTGTTTTGAACAATTTTAATCAATACTGAGTTCTCTCCCTGTGAATATTTTCCAATAAACAAGGTAATTTGATACTTTTCTAGTTGAATAAATCTATACATTTAGTTTAGCAAAAGATCGTCAAGAAAGGAAAGTCTTACTTATAAATGTAGATATATTTTTTAGTTACATAGCCAAATTACATGTATGTATTATAGTCACATGCTGAATAATGATGTTTTGGTCAAGGATGGACCATGTGTAGGACAGTAGTCCATAAAATTTAATACCTTATTTTTACCGTCTCTTCTTTTATGTTTAGATACATAAATATTTACCCTTTTGTTACAATTGCCTGCAGTATTCAGTACAGTAACATGCTGTACAGGTTTACGGCCTAGGAACAATAGGCTATACCATATAGCCTAGGTGCGTAGTAGCCTAGACCATCTGATTTGTGTAACTAAACTATACTCTGATTTTCACGCAATGAAGAAGTTACTTGATGCATTTATCAGAATGTACCCATGTCATTAAGCAACACATGACTGTGTGTGTATATGTATATGTGCATAAATGAAATCATATATAAGCAAAATTAGCTTTCTGGGGGGTACAAGTAACAGACTCAATTTTCTTCCTATAATGAAAATATTTTTTATGAAGATAACTGTAGGAATGAGGAAATGATAATTTTTGACCTACAGATATTGATACCTAGGAAAGACCCAACAGCAAGGTCAAGAAAAGTAGAAAACCTAGTAGAACCAGGTTTCTTGGAAAGTAGAACACAATTTAAAATTAAAGTTCTAGAGATGCCTAAGAAAGCTTGTGGATCTTTACAATTAGATATTTTATTGACACTAGACCAGTAAATAGCTGGAGCCACAGTTAAAACACACTTTTATGTTGTTTACTCGTAATGTGTGTGCATGTGTAGAAAAGCAAAAGTTAAAGTTTCATGAGACAGTTCTCAATATTTCTGCTGTTTCCTCTTCTACTTGCCCCCTCTCTGCTCTTAATCTCTGGTTCCACTCTTTCTGCTTCTCCCCTCACTTTCTTCCTGCCTTCCAGGATCTGCTTTTGTTTTTTTTGTTGACATGATTTATAATTTTGAAGGGTTTTTAGTGTTTGTTTTCTTAATTTCTCTCACCATTTAGCTATTTCCTAGTACTCAGATGTTCTTTATATATATTTTCTATTTCATATTTGTGATCTTAGAACCTTGTCTCATATATGGCCTATCATGGCCTGATTTCTCATCAAATCTTTCAGCTTCCACTGCGAACTGCCCACTTTCCTTGGTATTTGTTATTAGAAAGAGAGGTTTTGATTGATCTAGCTCATCTTTTTGAACTCATGCGCTGCAAAGTTCTGATCCAGAAATGGATTGAGTTCTTTTGGGTCAGAAGCTTATTCCTGTTCTGAATGGGGTCCTACATAGGTGTTAGAGATGAGGGATAGGGTGTGTGTGTGTATAGCAGGGGAGAAAGAGAGACTGTGAACATGTGTGTGTGTTGGGGATTCTGAGTGGATTTCCCTTATAAGTGGCCTTGAGTGTACGTCATCTTTGGAATGCAGGGTTTGGTGTACTCGAGCCACACAAGCTGATTAGTGAAGTATTGCTAAATACCCTAGAAAAATATACATAGTAATTACCAGATGTCTGACACAATTTTATAAGGCTTTAGAGAAGTATCTTTGAGGGGGTAATAATGGGGGGGGGAATAGGTTTTTCTCTTTGTTTTAGCCGGATCTTTATAGCACTGTCTATTCATAATATGAGGAAATTGGCATGGAAAATGAAAATACTTTAGCTATTATCCTTTTCCATGTACACATGCTTGTATGCTATGTGCTGTTCTTCCATGGAACAACCTCTGACCCTTATCTCTCATATGTATACACAGCCTCTAAGTGGCTGTGCTTTCGCTAAAGGAGTTGCTAGCTTCTTTAGCGACAGTCAGTAGTTGGCTTGGTAAAAGTCTTAAAGAACGGAGGATGAAGAGCAAGGAGAGAAGGGAAGAAGGAGGGATGAAATGTAAGGATAGAGGAGAGAGGTGATAAACGTGGGTGTTGTTACAAACTAAATTTGTTTTCTAGTATTGATTTGTGACTATAGAAAAATATACAAAATTTGACATAGATAAAATAATATATAGATAATATAAGATTAGTTTTAAGGATATTAATTGCTATAAATTCATATTTTAAGGCTACAATAAAAATTAGAACATTAGAAGAAAAATATTAACTTTCTCCCTGTAATTTGCTGTTAATCCAGTTTGACTGTCTGTAGTTAATTTTATATTTTAGTTTTGAAGTTTTGACAACCAGCAAAAGATCCAGTTAAAATAACTTTATAGCAGTGTGATATTTTTGTGGTTCAGCATGTTAAGGGTATGCCTTCTTTTATCAAAGAGGTACATGTCTCTAAATAGAAGAAAACTGTAAGAGAATTTAATGTGTTTGAAGAAAACTGTAAGAGAATTTAATATTTAAAGAAATGCTATTATAGGGTGAAAAAAATTTACAATGAAAATAAAACCTTGTTGATTGAAAATCCATAATTTTTATAAATTGGATTGCTTAAAGTAAGATATAATTTAAAGTGATCCTCTTCTTGCAGTATCTATTATTAGTGATTTCTGTTTGAATGTTTACAGGAATCCATGGGAAAGAGCTGTGATGGGAGAGCTTATGTTATCACTGGCATGTGGAACCCCAATGCACCAATATTCCAGGCTCTTAATGAGGAAACCCCAAAAGGTAACTTTCCTTAAAAGATTCCTCATTATTTGGTTTAAGTTTGATATTATGAACAATATTGGTTATTTATTTTTAAATTGGTGCTCATTCCTTTTATTGAGAATTTGAGGTTTTTTTAATACTCTTTGCTATTATGGGCAAAACTGCATAAAATTCAAAAGAATCCCCCAAAAGTTATGTGAATTAATTTTTTTAGGTTATGTAGACAGCATTTGGACTTTGTGTTTCATCTATCACTATAGAGTTGTTTTATTTAGGATGGTAGTGATGGAGGAATATGAAAGAAAATAGATTTTGCAGTTTTGCATATCTTTATTACTTTAGCTTTTTTTTACATTATAGATTACTTATATTTGTTTATTAAATAATTATCAGCTCCATTCTCTTGGCCTTTGGGATCTTAGTGGTATATATTAAGGATCTCATTTGCAGAAAATATGTTTACCCTCTTGTTTTATTTAATATGTATTATGTTGATCAGAATTTATAATGTTAGTCACATTTGACATTTTGCTATTGTGTTTTTTTTATTCCTACTTTATCCAGATATCTGCTATTTGCCTATGTTTTTTGCCCCTCCATCATCTGCCTTCAAACTAAATTTAAAGTTTTACCTGAGGAGTTATATTCTTACCCTAAATGCTTTACTGTAATTCAACCAATTATATTTAAAATATAATGATCCATTGGTTTTTTCTTTACTCTTATGTTATTTAGTTTATGACCACAGTAGGCTTTTGATTAATGATAGGAATCACTGGTGAATACTGGATATGGAAATGTGTTAAAGAAGAATTTTAAAATGATAAATATTCTCTCATTTCCTTGTAGAAAGTATTCACCAGTTATAGAAATAGTATAGATTTGATCAAAAATCAGGCTTTCCAAAAGTGAAGACTAAAAAGAGAGAGAAATAATGATTATATAAAATTCAGCTTTTCATATATTGGCAATAAATAATTTTTAGACCTGCAACTTGTTATTTCTGGAGACAGGCTTGTAAATTCTAGCCTTTAGCCTTCTTTCTAAGAATTGTTCAGAAACAAAATAGAAAATTGAGAAAAACAAGCCAGTTCATAATTTTGAAGAATAAAATTATAGGAATTTCATATATCAAGTTTAAAAAGTAGTTTTTGTTGTTAATCTATCAGTCTAACTTTATTTTGTGTTTAAATGTATATTTTGTCCTCAATTAAAAGAAAATGTATTTATAAGTCATTTGTTCTATTAAAATAAATTATATAATGCTGTTATAGTAATATTCTGATCCAAAATATGTCTCGAATTTAAATTTATCTCATATGCCACACAAAAATGTGACTCTGATTTTTAACATTTCTAAATAGTGTCCTTAAAATTACACATTACTCAAAGAATTCGTGAATCAAATAAAGTTTGATTTTTACAGAAGAAATTTTGGCTTTGAGAGATGAAATGTCTTGGATCTTTCTACTGTACTAATGTCCAGTTGAATATTTTATTCTGTGTCTTGTGGTATTCTCTCTTTCCCCTGTTTTACTCTTCTTAGATTTTAAGATCCTCTAGGTCAAGTACAATGTCTAGACTAGAGAATCTTAGTTTATCTTGAATTGTGGAAGGTTTATGCTTATATCAGTAAGAATGTAATAAAATTTTTGTTGAATTTGACATTAATGGAAAAGCAATTGATGAATATAAATGTTATATAATGTTAACTTAAAAAGTATTGAGCTGGACTTGGTGGCTCAACCTGTAATCCCGTGCCTTTGGGAGGCTGAGGTGAGTGGATTGCCTGAACCCACGGGTTCGAGACCCGCCTGGGCAGCGAGACCTCATCTCTACAATAAATCAAAAAATCAGCCAGGCGTGGAAGCGCATGCCTGTAGTTCCGGCTACTTGGAAGGCTGAGGCAGAAGGATCGCCGGAGCCCAGCAGGTAGAGGCTGCTGTGGCCGGGAGCGGCCAATGCACTCCAGTCTGGGCGACAGAGTGAGACTCCAACTCAAAAAAAAAAAAAAAAAGTCTTGAAGTTTTCTTCTAATGGTGGGCATAGTTATTTTGGACTTTTATTTAACAGATGACTAAAAATTGTATACAAAATATATTTTAAAAATATTTTAAAAGCAATGAAGAAATTACAAAATGGTTTGGAATGACCAGGCCATAGATTAGAACCTGCAGTGAATATCAAGTTGAGTAATAAAAGGAAATACATGTTTTGACCCATCATAGTAAAACTGAAGAAAACCAGTAGACATTGGCCTAGAATATTCTAGATTCAAATTAAATGAAGTATGAGGCCAAGTAAACATTTAAAAATAATAACTATACTTTTGAATGATAAAACTATACTGTTATCTAGAAGCACTTGTCAGGACTTTGATCTGTGTGTGTGTGTGTGTGTGTGTGTGTGTGTGTGTGTATGTGTAAACCCTGGAATTTATAAAAAATTGTATATTCTTACATGTTTAAACTTCAATCACCTTCAAATTGGTCTCTGTTTGATACAATACACCTGAGATGCTTTTTCCACTGCTCGAAACAGTTTTTTTACCTTGTACATTTTGATACTTTTTAGTACTTGTTTTTTGTTTTATCTGTTCCACATCAGCAAAATGTTTCCATTTGAGAACTTTTTTCATTTGAGGAAACAAACAAACAAAAAAGTTGCTCAAGGTGTGATCAGATGAATAGGGAGAGTAGGACATGGTGTCATGCCATTTTTTGGTCAAAAACTTCTGAACACTCAGTGTGGTATGGGCGGGTGCATTGTCATGGTAGAAGACCCAGTCACCTGTTTGCCACAATTTGGGATGTTTCTTCTGCAAATCATGATGCAACTTTCTCAAAACTTCCAGATAAAAACTTGGTTGAACATTTGATCTATAACAAATTCCGAGTGTACTATAAGGGCTCTGCCCTCCAAAAGATAACTCTGACTTTTTTTTTTTATCCACCCTGTATATGAAAACTGTACAGACCTATTTCTTTGGAACTTTAATTATTTTCCTAAGTTTAAGCATATATTATGAGCAATGAGGCTACTGACAGATCTCTAGAGATTTGCCTTACAGTAGGTATACAACATGAAAATATTTATATCAATAACATTTTGCCTGTATAAGTATGACATAGAGAATGCTGAACCTTCTGACTTGACAGTTCTTTCTATGTAACTCATCAAACCTAATAATTTCTAGTATCATTTTTAATAAGATAAAAGGACAAATCTCTGTGATTTTCCAGAGGTTCTTTGGGAAATTTGATAGTTTTAGTTTAAAAGATATTCTTTAATATTTTATTTTATTTATTTTTATATTAAAGATCTGATTTTGAAAATGAAAAAAGAAAAATGTCAGGAGATTTGGACAATGTATTAAAATATGATCATTAGTGCCTGTGAAACAAACTGGGAATGTTTGGTTAGCCTAATTAACCAAAAGTGATAGTAGAACATTTACAAATAAATCTAGAAGGTAGTATGATTATAAAGAATCTTAATTCTTTTGTAAGTGAGGAAACTTTGTCCTATTAAAAAAATCAAAGAATAATAAAGCCAGTGTAAAATCCAAACAATTTCTGCTATAGATAAACGAGTGTACATGACTGTGGCAGTGGATATGGTCGTCACAGAGGTGGTGGAGCCTGTTCGCTTTCTCCTGGAGACAGTGGTTCGTGTGTACCCTGCAAATGAGCGATTCTGGTATTTCAGCAGAAAGACTTTCACAGAGACTTTCTTCATGAGATTGAAACAGGTAGGACCTTTTTGTTTTCTTCATATAGTAGCATATGCTTTTCTTTCTACATTTCGTTGTAACACCAAGATAATTACTAAGGTCGCAATAAAAAAACAAGGTAATTCCTTAAAGAATCAAATGATATTTTAAGCCAACCAATAGAATGATTGAAAAATCCATATCTAGGTAATGTAAGCTAAAAAAACCCAGCTAGTATAATAGTTTTCTACTTTTTTCCTAGAAACTTGTAAGATATGAACATATTTAATATTTATTCTGCATTTAAAACAACTTTTTTTGCCTTTTATATACAGTTACTTGAAACCAAAAAGACAGGGCACAGAAATATCATATGCTTATCTAGCTATATAATGATAATATTTCCAAGAAATACCTGAATGATTTCCACAGTTATTTCTATTAGGTAGTCGACATTATAGGAACATCTTGTTTGACTTATCATTTATAACATTATTTTAATATTAAATGAACATTAGGGTTTCAATGACACCCTTAAATTAGACTGTATTAGTAGATAAAATATTTAATTTATGTCATGCAGCGAAGAGAGACTGTAACAGTGAGACATGATTTGAATTCTGATAATGTTAGTTTTTTTAAATTGGGGTAAAATGCCCTCTTTGAATAATGGAAGTCCTGTTGATGCTGTTTTTGTATTTCCTTTCCACAAGTCTTAACATGCTTGCTGCTTTATACACTGTGTCATGTAAGCTACAGTGTGATAACAGCAATGTCCCAGCACAGCAAACAAATGTAGAAGCCACTAATCCATTTTCATATAAAAAAATTGGTCATGACTCAGTTCAGCTTCATTTACTAGATACTTTGAAATTTATTATGGTTTTCATCTTTCATAAAATTATTATGGCTATGGTTTACTCAGCTTTTATTACTGTGTGGAATGTTTTGCAGCATTCAAATGAAGATCATATGAGCAATATACAGAACTTCAGTCTCCTGAGCATCTTGATATTTTATTATGCGTTTTTTTCTCTTTCTTCCTCCCTCTCCATCCTTCTGTCCTTTTAAAAAAAATCATTTAGTTGTTATGACAATTAAAGAATTCTTCATTTTGAGCCAAATAGCTCAAATTTACATAAAAGTAAATAAAGATGCTGTTTAAAAGTGGATAATCTTTCTTCTAATGATGATAAATTATGATAATATAAATTATACTTTCTAGAGACCTAAGGAAAAGTTAGGTTTTTGCCAATTTTAGTATTCTTGTTCTCTCTTTATTATATAGACATAGAAGTTAAACAAGTTGTTGAAATTTGTATGCATAATTGTTGCAAGAGTTGGGACTACAGCTCCTTACCTCTGTAAGGCCAGCATAGCTTCTTCCTGCAAATTCAGAGACTGAGGGTTGCTTTATGGTGGTTAATGGCAATCTGGAGACATTGGTCTAGACAAGATGGTAGAAAGAAGGAATTAGGTGAGCATCTGATACAACTTAAATTACCTTTGAAAATGCAAGTTTAGACCATTACTACTTAAAGGATTCAAGGATGAGTTAGTTTCAGTGATTTAGTGATTTAGACTTAGACACTAGAACTATTTTTTTCATGTTGAGAGTATTGGACTTATTGAATGAACCCAGTATTAGTTCTGTGCCAAAACAGGATTCGACCAGACTCCTGGGGTATCACCAAACTAGATGGGATGCCCTATCCCCAAATTATTTTTTCTTGGTAACTTTCCGATTCTCAAATTTAGCAGGACTTTATCTGTGGGCAGTGAGGATGTATGAAAGTGTAAGTTGTTTCTGATTAGGTTCCACTCAGGGCCAAATGGCATTTTCATTCATCTTTCATTAACAGGAAGCAAAGAGCATTTAACAAGGGAACTAAAACTAAGCTCTGGGAATATTGCCTGCAGAAAGTCATTTGACCTGAGGTCTCACAAAGTAGTAGAAATTAATTCGGTGAAAGTAGGAACGGCAAGTATAAATGCCCAGAGGGCTGGAAAGACTGGGGAGCACAGTAGCTGATGCTCAGAGAGAGGGAGCTCCCTGGTCATGCGGAACTTTGGAGTCTACATTAGGAACTCTTGGCTAAGTCAACTTTATTTAGGTGTAGTTAACACACAATAAAATATGCCTATTTTAATTGTGCATTTTGGTGAGTTTTGACAAATTTATACACCTGAATAATTGTCACAAAAATTAAGACATATAATATATCCATCACTCTTTTAAGTTCCATAGGGCTTATCCCAGCGAATCCTTCCCAGCCTCAACCTGAGGTAACCATTGATCTACTTTGTGTCATTATAGCTTATATTTTTTTTCTAGAGTTTCATACATGGTGACTGGAATCATATACTTCTTTTGGGTAAAAGGGTTTTTTTTGGGGGGAGGGGAGTTTTTTTGAGTTACAGTCTCACTCCGTTTCCCAGGCTAGAATGCAGGGGCATGCTCACGGCCACCCCAGAGTCGACCTACTGGGCTCAGGCTATCCCTCCACCTCAGCCTTCTACCAGCCAGAACTACAGGCATGTGCTACCATGCCAGGCTAATTTTTTTGATTTAGTGTAGAGATGTTGTCTTGCCAAGCTGCCCAGGCTGTTCTCAAACCCATGGGGTAAGGCGATCCCCTCACCTCGGCCTCCCAAAGTGCTGGGATTACAGACTTGAGCCACCACGCCCGGCCTAAAAGCTTCTTTCATGTGATAACGTTTTTGACATTCATCCATGTTGCGTATCAGTTGTTCATTCTTTTTATTCCTGAATGTTATCTCATGGTATATCACTCCACTTATTTAGTTCTTCTTTGGTTTATCGCAGCAGTTATGTCATTTGTACTTAGAGGTTTTACACATACTTTGTTAAATTTATCCCTGATTCATAATTTTTTTGTTTTCTTGAAGTATAATTGACAAAAAAAGATGAAATGTATTAAGGTGTTCAATAGGACGAAAAAAAATATAGTAATGATTACCACAATCAAATTAGTTAGCACTTCTATCACCTCACATAGTTATTTTTTATTTTTTGTGGTGAGAGCACTTAAGATTTACTGTCTTAGCAAATTTCAAGTACACAGTGCAGTTTTATTAACTAGAGTCTCCATACTATATATTAGATTTACAGAACTTATTTATCTTATAGCTGAAAGTTTGTTCCTTTGGCCAACATCTCACTTTTTCCCCACAAACTTATCCCCTGGCAGCCCTTGGACTATTTGTTTCTGTGAGTTCAACTATTTTAGGACCCACATATAAATGAGATCATACAGTGGTTATCTTTCTGGTCTAACTTTTTTTACTTAGCATAATACCCTACAAGTTCACCCATTTTGCTGCAAACGGTAGGATTTTCTTCTTGTTTATAGCTGAATCATATTCCATGGTTTGTGTAAATATAATATAATATAATCACATTTTCTTTATCCATTCATCTGTTGACAGACATGTTGTTTCCATGTCTTGTGAATAATGTTGCAGTGAACATGGAGTGTAGATATCTGAGATACTCTTTTTCTAGTTCCTTATGATGTAAAATTAAGGGTTTTTTTTTTAGTTTTTTTTCTTAATATAGGCATTTTTCACTATAAAATTCCCCTCTTGGAACTGCTTCTGCTGCATCCCATAAGTTTTGATGTGTTGTATTTTCATTTTCTGTCTCAGTTATTTTTTAATTTCCTTTTTGACCCATTGACTGCTTAAGAATGTGTTCTTTAGTTTCTATAGGAATCCTATAGGCTAGGCTTTCTGGTTGGGCAGGGCCATTGCCTGGGATCCAAGGTCAAGTGAGGCTTATGACTGGGCTTTGTAACTGCCTCTGGTTGGATGGGGCTGCAGGCTGTGCCCTATAGTTGGGTGGGGTTGCTGGCTGGGCTGTACAATTGAGTGGGGCTACAGGCTATGCCCAATAACTGGGTATAGTTATGGGTTAGGCTACCTGGTTGGGTGGGGCTGCATGCTGTGCTCTGCAGCAGGGCAGGACTGGCAACTGTGCTCTGTAGCTGGGCCAGACAACTGACTGGGTACCCCAACCTGGCAGAACTGCTGACCATGCTCCCTAGCCAGATAGGATACCAGTTTCCCTGGAGACTAGACAGAGGTGGGCCTCCTGGGAAGCACCCTGGAATACTGGGGAATCTGGTTGTCCAGCTCATGCTCTTTTTGTCCACTGGAAAAACTGTAGTCCCAGCAGATATGTCTTGGTGTGGTTCTGTGCTGGCCTGGGGTAGTGGCAACACAATCAAACTGAAACTGTTCCTCTTATTTTTCTAATATGACTTTTCTCAGTTTTGTGCTTCTGCTATTTTTGCAAGTATGTTCTTATATGTGGATAGTTGCTAGTTGGTATTTCTGTGAGGGAGGCTAGAGCTGGGTACCTCCAATTCTGCCATCTTTCTGATATTACTCTCCAAATCCACATGTTTTTGATATGATTATAAGTTGTATTTTTTAAATTTTAAATTTGGATTGTTTATTTCTAGAATATAGAAATACAATTGATTTTTGTATATTAGCTTTACTTTCTTCAGCCTTGCTGAATCACTTATCAATTTCCATAGCTTTTATAGATTCTTAATGTTTTCTTTATATATGATAATGTTGTCTATAAATAAATGTGCTCATGGCCACCGCAGTGTTGACCTGCTGGGCTCCTGTGATCCTTCCGCTTCAGCCTTCCAAATATTTGGAACTACAGGTGCGTGCTACCACACCCGACTAATTTTTGATTTTTATGGTAGAGACAAGGTCTCGCCAAGTTGACGGGGATGGTCTCTCACCCATGGGCTTAGGCAGTCCACTCGCCTCAGCCTCCCAAAGCTCTGGGATCACAGGCTGAGCCACCAAGCCTGGCCTCTTTTTCTTTCTTGGCTGAGTTTTTTCCCATGGGCGAGTGTTGGATTTCTTTTAAATATTTTTCTTGCAACTACTGAGAAGTTTTTTTTCCTATTAATATATTGAATTACATTTGTTGACTTTTGAAATGTTTAGCCAACCTTGCATTCTTTAGAATATGATGATTTTTTATTCATATA